GGCAATTTGATATTCAATCATTACGGAATGGCGCCTTAACACAAAAACTGCTTAGGCCTCATATGAAGAATCCATCTCTGCGTTGGTAGCTGATAAAACAAAATCACTTGAACATTAGGTTTTGTAGTTCAGCAAAGTCTAGCGTTCGACTACCATGCCATTTTATGGTAAGTGGCAATGTAGCCGTAGATAGCAAACGTAATCGGTCGGTCAAAGCCCATTCCTTAAAGGTGCCCATATTATATTCAGACTACTGCATATTGGAACCGGCCTTAGTAATGTTTCCTTTATTGCCCGCAAATATCCAAATTATTAAGTAAATATCTTACACTGGTTCAAATAGAGTACCACTTCAATCTACATATACACCAGCGTCGGCCACAATCATAATACACAATACCTCGCCAACGTCATTAAAACGGTACCCCACAGCGTTCCACTTGGAATGTGCTCCGCGTGCAATGTCTTTCTTAGCTTCGAACACAATATTAAAGTAAAATCTTGCAGCAACAGAATATTGGAGATTCCAGTTATCTAAATAGAAGCTATATGTATCGGAGTGGAAACAAAACATTAAACAAGAACATTTTCAAAGTTCTACTTTTCAAAGGTTTATTTTCAGGTTTTTACGAAAGTATTCAAATATTATTTAGGCAAGATATTCACATAATCAATTATCGCTTCTGGTACATAACGATCTAGTTTTATAGTCCTAAATGCTCTAAACTCTTCAGATATGCCTAAAACATATTGCAATTCCAAATTAAGGTAATAAAAATTTTGTCTTAAGAAGCACGCTATACATATTAATATTCATAAACCCAACTGTGCAAATATCTTTTAAATATTAATATTTATAAGGCAGGAACCACTCTAAATTACGTCGCAAGCTATCGAATCAGAGACGTGAAATAATTCGCTCTAAAGGAAAGTTACAATAATAAAATAAAAAAAACATACTAAAGTTTCCGCTGTACAGTAAGTATTGATGAATGATTTTGAAGTTTTCATCCATGCGGACTTTATAGGGAAATCTTCAGCCTCTTGTCCCACTTTACCATTTTTGGGGTTCTGTACCCAAAGGGTGTAACGAGACCCTATTACTAAGACTCCGCTGTCTGTCTGTCTGTCCGTCTGTCTGTTACCAGGTTGTATCTTTAGACAGTTGGAATTTTCACAGATGATGTATTTCTGTTGTTTTTATTCTATTTATAGTATTTGTTGTTATATTGTCAACAGAAATACATAATTTGTAAAAATTTCATCAACATGTCTATCACTTTCAGAAAATTTTAAATGAAATAATGAATTACGCTACTTTGTCTATTTGTGCCAGTTTTAACAAATTTGTAGCGCCATTAGGTGATGATTGAGGTGCTGATTATTTTTTAAAAGGAGAGAATATCAAGCGGCACCTTTTGTTGGAAATAAATCTGCCTGAACACCCAAAAAATAAGATACAATCAGGTAATTTTAAAAAACGTTTTCAATGAATTTTAACTTCCACTGGCAATAAAAATACTTAAACAATCCAACTAAATAACAGATCTTACGTGAAACAATTCTTAGAAAAGTTCTATATATTTATTAATCTTAAGTAGGTAATTGATTATTTAAAATGATGCTGCTACATAGTTTACAATACATTGACGGCTTTGCTGAAAAATGAATTGTTTGTTATGTTAATTCATTAATATATGAAAAAACGCACAGACATATGCGTTAACTCTAATAATTCTTTAAGATATACGACAGTGAGACGAACCATACGGTTCGTCTCACTGTCATCGCTCGGTTATAACGTACGCCCGTTGATTCCTAAAAAATATAAAACGAAACTAGGACTTAAATTTTTATGTGTCCCTTAAAGTTAGGGATCGATGGTGAAAACGTGCATTAGACCCATAATGTTATCCTTAAATTTGCAATAAACACAATTAACCGTTTTTAACAAACTTTTTTTACCTTTCTCGTGAATTCTACAAAGTTTGACATAAATTCCATTATTTGGTTCGTGCATTAAGAATAATAAATTTAACCATTTAACCTGTACCATTGTAAAGTATCGTGAACTAATGTTAAATAATTGCCCTCATTACCAAATTTGCTCGACTTGAGCAATAAAATAATTTTCTTTTAATAAATACACCGTAACGACGACGACGTCATTTGCAATTTTCGTCAACTGCATTAGATCCAATAGCTGTTATATCATAAAGATTTAAGCACTTTCATTTTTAAGCCCTTATCACACGTCTGTTACAGAATTATCAAAATATTTTTACGAATGTATTTATATATATGTAAGTACGTTTACATTTGTAGGACGTCTAGTCCTAACGGCTTAATTAAGTGTAGAGATATAGAGAGTTATCTACTTTAAATGAGGGATAAGGTGTTAGTGCCCAAGTAAGTGCTCAAGTAGCATATGAAAAAAACTTCCAGCCTAGCAAAGATTTTAGATTTTTTTAAAGTTATCGGCAAGCCCTCAAAGTGTTGCAGATATCAATGAGCGATCATATTCACTTAACATCAGGGGGTACCGCCTGCTTAGAAAACTTTTCTTCACATAAAAAAAACTTGACGCCTTTGGACGGGCACTTTAAACACTAAGTGTGTCCTCCTTATTTCTACACTATGTACTATTAGGTCTTTAGGTTATTCTCAGTTGTAAAGCCGGCATACGTTATTATCATCAATTAGATTTCAAAAGATCGCTTGATAATAAATCAACGATAACGAAAATGTAGTTTCAGTTCATGAAAGCCCCGTAGTTTAATGAGTGGTTTAAGTTGGTGGCTTAAAATTTAATAAGGACATTGTCCTCTAGTCCGTCAAGTTGCTGGAGAGTTGATACTCTCAAAGCTTCCACTATTTCTTTTATAACAAAAATTATTGATTGACACGTCTTAACGTTATCTGAATTTATTACTCTTGTAACTTAAATGCTTACAGCAGTTTTTGCAATAAGTATGTAATCTTGCGTAATAGATAAGTGTTTTTCTCGAAAACCACGTATTTCATTCATTGTATGAAGTAATAAAAGATGATTTTTTACAAAGAAAATACGATTCAATGATAAGTGATTGCAAGTATGTATTCACTTATGAATATGACAAGAAGTCTATAGTTATTCACTATACATTAAAACAGTTATTCAAAATTTGCTCCTAATATTCATTTATATATCGAACAGGCCCCATAACGGGCCATAAGTCATATACAATACGAAATAATAAAATTAAGAATTGTATGCATTTATTATAAAGATATATTAGATGACAGCAAAAAACGTATACAAATTATACTTTGGTGTTTTTAATGTTTTGTGAAATGTGGATAATATCTAGTAATATTATATGACAAAAAATGTAATTTAAACCTTAAAGGCATTGAATAAAGGCCGAGCGAACCAGGCTTCAAATTTTACTCGACTCGCAGAGTACTTTTTCGTTTACCGAGTCTAGGAGCTTTCAACTTTAGTAATCGATAAAATCCCACCATCGATGATGCCCACCTTCCTGACTTAACGCCATCCTTCATATACCAAAACCAAACTATGGTGACAAATTTACCTATATGGCTGTCACTAAAAAGCTTTGAATAAGACAATATTAAAATCTTTAATCTAATCGATAAAACTCTTACGCTCGGTTTCTGAAACATTGATCATCGTATAAATTAACCAATCAGTTCTCAAGCGGCTTATCAAATGTCATTTGAGTTGCCAAAAGGATGGGTAAACTCTTTGAATTGATCAGAATGATCTTCTTAATTATGAGAATAATAAAACAAATTCAAAGTACGTCACCATTCCATCCCAAGGATGTACGAAAGCGTCTCTAAAATAATACGGAGAGAAAACAAAAGAACTTCGCAAGATTTAGCATTAAATGCATGGCGCGTAGTGGAAGACAGGGCGTTAAGTGGAGATTTACTGGGAACACTGCAAGGCCGAGCAATGGAAACCCTACATGGAGACGTCCTCGGTGCTCAACACCCTTCTATTACGTATGTATATTTATTACAGAATTTGTTCTGTATGGCACTATTTATTTTATATACTGACATTAAATATGCAAAACCACACGAGTTTAAACATAAACCTTAAAAGGATACAACCATAAACATGAGTGGAAACCGTTGAAGAAATATTTGTGACGGTCAAGACTTGTGGGCGTGAGCAAAAAAAATATAACCTTCTCAAATTTAGTATTAAGCATGTTTCATTGCACTGATATTTTTATTCCAAATAAAACTTTAAATCGATATATCTGTGCACCGTTAATCTATAACCTTATAAAGTCCTTTGGTTGTTTTGTTTTCTCTTATAAACAGTTATTGGTGTTAAAATAAGGTGGACGAGACTGTAGTAATTAGGCACGGTGGAAGACAAAATAGATGGAAAACAACAGCATCGAAAAACTAACAATGGACCAGAAGCCGAAAAGGAAAAACAAATGTTTCTTTTTCATCTTGATTTAGGTACTCGTATATTTGCAGTGCTATTTCGACAGCACACTTCGTATTTTTGCACCTGCTTCCCGTCGTACGCGTTGTTATGCGTTTGGTGGGTCGCCGCAGCTGGCATACGAATAGACGCTAGACTTTTAAAGGAGCGTTGCCTTTTCGGTAACGGCATTACCACGAATACTGCCACGTCCGGTTTATATATCAAAACATACCAACTTTATTTACGCCCAGCTGTACAATGTACCTATCGTTTGCTATGTCATTTACAATAGCTCCCTTTAGCACATGTTGTTTTCGCCTAAATTTGCAGTTACTCCAGTATAGTAGTAACCTATAAAACTTTTAGGTAGGTCATAGGAATGGATATCCGAAATTGATATAATGCAAATAGAAAACCCAAAAAGTTTTATTTGTATCATTTACTGTCGATAGAAGATAATTTTCAGATGTTTCATACAAATCTTATAATGGTAGTTTTATACCTTTCTCTCTTATTTTATAAAAATATTTTAAACATTAACACTTACCATTTCTGGATACATCTAGCTCGACTAAGTTCTCAAAGTTTTGTATGTCCGATGGAAGTTTGTGAATTTCATTGTCACTGAGACCTAATCTTCGCAAGCGATGTAAACGGAAGAAATTCTGTAACAATCAAAATATAGTTAAAGAATTTATTTATGTCATTTAAACATAAAAAGTCCATACAAAGTCATTAAAAACAAAAACGTAGCTTATATCTTGACATATTTTATTTATGTAATCTTCTGTTAATTGAACTGTTCATTTTATAAAAACATTACAGATAGAGACCCAAAGTCAATCTAAAAATATATAAATATATAAATCTGAATTTTTGTTAATTTAACTACAAAAAATCACATTTGAAGTTTTATCTTAAGTGCGACTAACACTGTCAATAACATTAATCATAATTATTTGTTTATATAAATGAAAAGCCTCTTTTTACTTTATTCGGTTGTCTATATACATTCATTATTTTGACAAAAGTTTGACTTGGAATTTAATTATAATGAATATTAGACCACTGTAAGGCTAATTATTTCCCTGTCATAGAATAGTTGAAGCCTAAGAGAACTGCATTCTCTCCAGAACTTAACATGTTACTATGTCCATTAAAACATATAATGCATAGATGACCTGACCTCTATGACCCTATCTATAGAGATAATGGGGATGAGTGATTATTATTATTTTTTAATTTCTTCTGGAAACAAAAATGTTTTGGACTATTGTCAAGGCAAACTACTGGCACATATTAAAAAATGACAAGCAATTTATATATGTTTTATTTATATTTTCCGGCTAAAAAAAATATTTGTATGTCAGATAAAGCAATCAGCATCAAATTTACTTGCAAAATAATTAGCTTCACTTAGGACATTAATCCAGCAAATAAAAATAAAGAAAGAAACACAAGACAATATGAACTAAATGTCAAATATTATAAAAAAATATGTGTTAACAAAATAATAAAGTATTAATAAATTAAACAAAGATTTACATGATTTCAATATTAATGTGAAAAAGAATACCTTATTGCCTCATCTTGCCTATAATTCTTAAGGCCCATTTACACAATGCCATTTTCTTGTACATACAAGAGCAATAATTGAATGCAATAAATTGCGCGCAATAATTGTTTAGACAATTTGTTGTTTAGACCATGCAACTCATTTATTGCTTCAATTTAATTGTATACAACAGGCAAGAAACTGGCACCATGTAAATGGGCCTTTACTATGTACATTTAAATATTGCATGATGTTTTGGTGTTTATTATCATTGACTAAAGCTCTTTGTTGATGATATTTTGTCTAAATAAACTTAGAATTTCGCATTTCATGATTTGTGGAATTCTCTTAAAAGCATATTTTTAGTAATTTAATTTTTTTATAGTGCTAATCTCTGCACTTAAGATTAAACATTTAAAATTTTGTAGACAAAGTACGAAAAGATTTTCGCTGCTGTGCGATTCCCAAAGCGGCGACAATCTTTTCGCACATTATCTACAAATTTTAAAAGTTTTAATAATATATTTTTAAAAGAATATATATTTAATTAGAGTGGCTACAGCAGTTTTATGGAACCTGATTTAATATTTTATAAACAACATAAAAAATTACGATTTCAACTATTAGATGATATCCTGACAAAATTATACGTAGCGTAGTAATGTATTTACACCTTGTAGTGATAAGGTGAACGCCCACGAATGCAAGTGATTTTGAGGACGACCAATAACACTTACCTTAGGCAAATCTCTTATATGATTGGCATCCAGAAACAGCTCCTCCAAACTTCTGGAATATCTAAGGATGTCTTCAGGTACTGTTGGCAACGAGCAATGCCGCTTGTCTACACATTCCACTTGACGATTACATTTGAACAAAGGTATACACCGAAACATGTTGGACACTACACTTCGATCAAACTACTAAGAGGTAAACCACTAATACGACACATATTTGTGCGCCTTTTAGAAAAACACTACCTCATCATTTTAAAAATTAAAACGACAACAAAATATTCCAAAATACACTTCAGACACCTCACCCCTGGAAAATGAAGCCACAAACTAACAGTGTTGCCGTAAACTTCAGATAGTATCATTACCTGTTGTCATAAATACTATTTCCTGTTAGTGAAAATAATAGAAATGGTTTACATTTATTTACATGTGCAATACGTTTTTTGTTTAATGTTATAAAATGAAAGCGTATTACATTTTTTTTTAATTAGTCAAAGTAACACTTTTTTACATATTTTATAGTTAATGAAGCGTAATAATTATTAATTAAAAACACAAAAATAAAATCTAAATTATCTCGGGGGCTATATTTATCCTGTTCACTTGATGTTAAAAATTACTATTGATTTAAAACTAATGTTCATTTATTACCTATTTTATTCATCTGTATCATGTCATGTGTGACATTTTGTTTATGGTTTTCTAATCCTAATCAATTCAATTCAACCAATGAGAATAACCACTACGTTTTGAATTCTTAGTTTCATACACGGATGCCAACTTGGGCGTTTTCTTCCTAAATTTAGGAAGAAAAAATTTACAATGGAAGTTTTTTAGGAGGAGAAATTTTTTGGGAATATTTTTAGGAATAAAATTTTATTCACATTTTTCAAAAAAAAACTACACAATTTAAACACGAAATATAATATAATAGTATTGGAAGCATTGTATATTGTACATAACAGTAACTAGTTTTGGCTGCATTGGCTTATGTAGTATTTTAAATTGTTCCGCCATAAAAAGATATGTTCAAAAATTTGCAGCTAAGTGGGAAAAGACAATGAATAAGGCATGTGAAATGAAATATGAATAATTCAGATCTCTTATGATAGAATGATGCTTATTCAAATTGTTTATTGTCTGATTCTTAAAAATAATGAAAATGATTATAACCTTACAATAAAATGTATTTAATTTGTATAAATATTCTTCAACTCAATGAAAAATGTTCAACCCCAATTATATTAATTTTAAAAGAAAACAGTTTTGATTACCCAGATAGTTAATTTTTAAAATTAAAAAAAAATGTGACTGTGTGTGACTTTTTTCATTTAGGAGTTTTTTTTTCAACAGTTGGTAACACTGGTTTCATATTCAACCAACTCAATATTTTCCATTTCAGTATATATGTCTTATCTATGATATTATCAATAATAACCTATTTTGGTTGGTTGACGGTTTAAAAATGTACCTATGTACCTATTGTACATAGTTGTAATATAAAAGGTTAAATTCGTTAACATAGTTGCCCATGTAAACCACAAAAATTTCCGTTCATGATATTTAATTGCATAAATACGTGTTTTATATCTAATCATGTACTAGTAAGGCTGAAATTCTTTAAGCAGAAATACATATAACATATTGTTTAAAAAATTCTAGTAATTAATTTCACTTACAAGTAGTGCAGCCCATCGGAAAAATTAAATAATGGCTTTTAATATTGGTTTTATTGGGGGAGGAAATATGTCTACAGCTATTGCAAAAGGAATCTTGAAAAATGGTATGTAATATTTAATATTTTAAGGACTGTCTCATAACACTTTATTTTTTTTGGCATAGGTTAAGTTATTGGGTATCAAATTTTAGTGCCAAGTTCAATTTACTTTTGGATATTATTTAAGTGCTATATTGCTGAAAACTATCATCAATAGATAGAATAACTATATCACTAGAATATAAGTTTACCAATAATTGAAATTTTGATTTAAATTATTTTATTCAAAAACTTTTACGCAAAATAGCGTACAATGGCGAACTTAACACCATAAGTCTACCCACCAACCAGTCTTCCTGTCAACCAACAAAAAATAGAGAAAATAAGGAGGATAATAATTGTTTTTTTTTTAACTGCTATGTAGAAAAATCGCCAAAGAATGTATGTAATCTGGAAATGAATAAATTTTGTTATATTTTTATGTAATTGTTAAAATTTTTAGCAAAAAATTTTTTGTTCTCTGTTAGTTCATTATGAAACTGTTGTAGATTTAAAAAATGATCATGTTGATCAATTAAATGTATGTTTCGTATTTGAATATCTCCAGTAACCAAATCTATCTGTAGATTGAATCTTAGAAATAAATTAAACAAGTTTATAGATTTAATGATAAATGTGATAAAACCTTAAATTAACTTCATTTAGTAAATAGTGTTCTCATATACATGTTAAATATAATCTTCAAACTGTGTAACTGAAGGAACTGTAACTAATTCCACCTTAGGGTAGAATTAGTTACAGTATGTTGTTGTAAAGACATCAAAACGTTGGGTGATTATCCTTTTAAAAAATCGCATAAAATGAGCTTGCCCATTTTATTTAAAACATATGTGCATGCTGAAACAATTACCATCTGTTATGTAAGATTTACATTGTGTTTTGTGTAACATATTATTTATTACTAATAAAATTACTATTAATAAAATTATTTTCTAGATATGTTTCCTGCAACAAAAATTTGGGTTTCGGGTCCACATTTAGCTAATTTAAAACATTGGGAAGAAATGGGTGTTCATGTTACTACTAAAAATGGACAAGTGCTTAATAACTGTAATATAATATTTTTGGGTGTGAAGCCTGGTATGCTTAATGATGCTATATCTGATTGTATAAAAACACTGCCTGCTAATTTTGTATGTGAAAATGTCCTTTTTGTATCAATGTTGGCTGGTATAACTATTGACCACTTACACAAGGTACTTGTATATTAAATGTTTTAAAATTCATCAATATATTGATTAATTTAAAAGTTAACAGCAGTAAATGGACCATAAAAGTGCAATGTTCTTCTGAAATTTGTCCCAGTAACTGTTCTTGGATACAAAAATGGGTATCACAGAGAAACCCCAATACTTAACTACTACTATTATCTAAGAAACTATGTGAGTCTATGATAAGAAATCTCAAATCATGTAAGAAAATAGGAATGTTTTTTGCGGGTACTGTTGTTGTGTCTAAATTGTACTTTAAGCAGGAAGATCCGCAATTTAGAAGCATAATCTGCCGGTATATTGTTTTTTACTTATGAAATAATGTATACAGAGATTCGCAAAAACTTCAGAGGCATGTTTAAATTTTGTACATATTTTACTCTACAGTTTAGTTAAAGTTGCCTAGAACTCTCCAAATAAAATAAATTTGGGAGCATTTAAGTTTTGTGCAACCAGAATTTTTAGATCTAAGTAAATAAATGATGAAAACAATCCATGGTGCAAATGCAATATATGTGGTACCATCCAACAGTATTTGCTGTTGCACGAATGGGCAGGTCTGTCCGGGTTAGTACCACAGCCTCACAAAAGCCCAAGTGTTCACTTCTGTGTTTCATTTGGTGAGTGAGGTAGCCGGGGCCTAGATTATTAAAAGGTGGCAACACTAAACCGGTGTTGCAAACGGCGATTATCTCTTAACATCAGGTGAACCTTCAACTAGTTTGCCACTTTTTCACATAAAAAAAGGCATTGGCTTCAGCGCCCAGGGTCGCGGGTTCGATTCCCACACAAGACTATTTGTGTGGCTCACAGATGTTTCGGATCTAGGTGTTTGTCACACAGGATAATGTTATCCTATAGTAAACGGGCAATGTTTTCTAAGGGCAAGGAAGGGAAGACTACAATAGATCTTCTAGGTTGCATTAGTCATTGGAGCTTACTACCCATCTCTTCAACATAAAATACAGCACAACATAATAAAACAGAATAATAATCATTAAAAGCTATTTTAGGCTTTAGAAGTTTTGTCAGAAGGATTACATGTTGTCAGAATAATGCCTAATACACCAATGAGTGTGGGTGCAGGTGCTTGTTTATACACACCAGATGACAGAACTACAAATGGTGAATGTGAAATCTTAGAAAAACTTCTGAGTAGCTGTGGAATATGTGAGAAGGTATCAGAACAAATCATGAATGCAGGTGGGGCTTTGCCTGGGTGTGGCCCTGCTTTTGTAAGTAAAATTTTTATTCTAATATTATTTATAAAGGCTTTTACATGTGAACAAAAGGAAAAAAGCATTCCAGGATGGTTGTCACTGCTCCAAGCCAATAGTTTCAGTAAACGGCAATCATGTGTCTATTCTGGGTGTACAAGGAACTATTGTAGCTTATAGTTGCTAACCCCTCTCCAAATAAAAAAAGCATGAAGGAGCACGTCTGCTGCTGGACTTTTATGAGGATGATTAAATCATGTTCATGGAATCTGGCTGTTCAACAAGCTCTGTCTTCATTGATGTTTCAATGACAACAAGTAATAGTATGTGCACTGTAAGAGAGAGAAAATCATTTCAATAAAGATGCAAATTACATATACCACTTATGTAAGAGTAATGTTCTTCAATATTATAAGAAATTTATGTTAAAATTAACAATTTTAAAATAAAACGCTGTGTACATTCTAAAATTTAGTCATGAAACATTTTTAAATGCTGAAATAAACCATGGATTTTTATTCTTTTTATTATTTTTTTCCAGATGTACATGGTAGTAGAAGCACTAGCGGATGGTGCAGTAAAGCAGGGTGTTCCAAGAGCTATGGCAATACGCTTAGCTGCTCAAGTTTTAGTTGGAAGTGGGGAAATGGTTCTTAAGACGAATAAACATCCAGGTATTTTAAAAGATGAAGTTTGTTCACCTGGTGGCTCCACTATATGTGGTGTTACTGCTCTAGAAAATGGAAAGCTGAGGTATGCATACAATTATTTATTTATTTTGAATGTGTAACTATTCCTAATGATATGAAAATGGATTACCCAGTTAAATAATAATCAGCAGTCAAACAAGTAAATTAATTTATTCCTATCATTTCTTTTCCAGTACTTGTTCTTGTACATTTAATTAACAATCAACCAATGTTTTGTACTACATTCTTATATTAGAATGATGTGCTTAGGTTAAACTTTATTAAATTTTTGTTAGAAATTAATTTGATGACTCCGTGGCACAGTTGCCAAGGTATTGGCTTCGGCATCGGGGGTCGTGGGTTCGATTCCCACACAGGACAACTATTGTGTGTGACCCACAGGTATTTGTTTCGCATCTGGGTGTTTGTCCGCGTGAAATTTATGTTTGTAAAAACGTCCCTACAACACAGGATAATGTTACCCTAAAGTAAGGGCAATGTTTTTTAAACATTTAATAAATTCAAAAAAAAAAAAAACATTAATTATTACAGGTCAGGATTTCCGTTCCATCAAAACAATAAACCATCTGCAAAGAGACACTTAGCTTAGTTTTGGTTTGGTTATTAATAAAAAATAAAAAAATGTATATTAAAATATTCTATTTATAACTAAATAAATAAATTATGTTACATGTGACTAGTCAAGTTCATAACACTGGTGTTGTGCAGTAGTTTGGGAAACAGATGGATATACCATAATCAAAGAATGGTATTAATTTTCTGTGACATGGCAACAGCTTGTACATGCACTGCTGGGCAAAGGTAAAGTCTGTACAGAAGGTATCAGGGCATAGTCTACCACCTGCCCCTACTGTAGATTGGCGGGTTTCATATATGTTCGAAGTATATATTTTAAGTGTCGACACCAGGCATCGAACTCAGGTTGCTATAGTAAGTTGAATTTAAGGCGAGCGCCCTGAGCGACACTGAGCTATAATGGCTAAACAACATTTTACTGAGCAACTAGATACAAATGAACATATTATTTAAATTGCTTTAAAAAATAAATTTAAAACCTGTTTAATTAAACTTGTTTCAGAGCAACTTTAATCAATGCAATTGAAGCAGCTACACTCAGAACTAAAGAGTTAGGAAAACAATAAATTGCTTCGAAAGAAAAATAATTAATATTATTTCCAAAATACAATTCAGTACAAATGCAAAATTGCATTCAGACATTCAGTATTTATTTTACGCTTTTCTCACATACAGTTGCAAATGCCACTTTTAAATAAGACAAATATTATGATTTTATTTATTTAGTTAATTAGGTGTAATTTCTTTGTTCTTATTATGAAAAAATGACTAAAGAATTGAATCTCTAATTAATGAACATAATTACAAACTTCCATAAATTTAAAACTGCAGTTGAGCTCTTTATGCCATATTCTTCTGCCAATCCAATTTGTTCAAAAAAATTGATAATCCTAAAATATAAATCATATAAATCAATGTAAGAAATCTAAAGGACAAGTGTTATCTTTTTTCTTGTTGGATAACATAATCTTTACATGTTTGATAAAGTTTACATTAAAATTACTTCCACTATTCATAAAATACCCAAGTTCATAGTTTAGATCTGACTATTTATATTTAAGTAATTGTAATTGAGTTTTTATATTTAAGTCATATCTGTACTATTTTGTACGCTTATTCAGTAGGCCCATTGGTCCAGATGACACTGTAACTATTGGTGATATGTACGCCATGCGCTTAAAAGTTTTGTTGTCAGTAAATATTAAAAAGTAATACAACCTATGCCAACATGCAGTTATTTTATATTGATATAATTAATAAAAATAATGTATTTAAATTAATTACCTAGTATTAAGTGTTTTGAAAAGGTTACCTGTTAAAAATAGTATTAAGCAAAGCAGAAAACATTGATCTTTGAAACACTTGAAACACTAATCATCCTACTATAATTTTAACGGAAATCAAATTATACCTAGTTCTTTTTTCATATTTTGTTTTTTCCATGTTTTATAGTTGTAACCTGCCATCGCAAAATTTGATATTGTTGAGATTCCGAAATATAAATAAAAGCCATAGCTTCTGTCCTGCCAATATTTGTTTCATTGCACCAATGCCAGTCCCACTCCCGAATCGTGCATTATGAGGCCCGATGCAACGTCAAATTGAACATCCTTGTTCACATAACTGGACGTTTCCTCAATATCTATCGTCCATGTTAATATTAATCTTTCTTGTCGTTTGAGCTGGTGTGTATGGGTGATAAGGGTGCACACACACCGACCTCCTGGTGAAGATAAAAAGAGAAACTCTTCTCGCCAATCCAACGCCAATGTCTATACTTTTGTGTCTTGGCACTTCTAACATCGCCTTTTCTTCGTCCTCTGAACCTTTCAAACAGCTCATCTTTTGCAAACGATTGCGAACTTTACCAAATCTAGGTCTCCACCTCGGCCGAATGAGCGGGAACCGAAAAAATGAACTCTTTTTATCCTCATGATTTTTCAATTTACTATCCCTGCTGCTTGAACAGCTTGCTTCGTCTGTATTCGCTGATATTTTATATTTTTTAGACGTGTCTGCCAGTGTTATAAGCGCTATATCTTCTTCACTCATAACTTTATATTTTTTACATACTTAAAACAACAGTCGATGTCGATGTGTCGGAATGAACTGAAATTCCGCCAGCTAACTTTGGCATTGATTGAGCGTGACGTCCAAGATAAGATATTAAGATTACTGTGATTATGGTCATGATTTGTAGCGTTGCAGAAATGTATGAGTTTCAGACGTATCAAATCGCCTAATACAGTAGCTAAAACAAACAACTAGGAATACTTACGTAACTCTACCTCGTCATATGGCCTTGCAGGTAACAATATGAATATATGTGTATAACAACTCCATTCATGGAGTCTTGTAATGAATTTAACCTCTCACATTCGTTGATTCTAGCAAATTGAAGGTATGAAAAAAGGATGTTAGACGATTTAGTTCTACTTAGAAATTATTTTTATGGCGCTTGTTTGATGGTTTTGAAATTAGGTTGTTTAGCAATCTCATAAAAAAATACTCCGCGAAAAAAATACTCTAGATTACATCTAGAAATGCATTCCATAACACCATCAATTATCAAGCCCCTTTAATTGTGGGAGTTGGTATAAGTAAGTACCTACTTACAAAAGTAGGTTACAATAAAGAATACAAATAAAATAATTTCATTAATATATTTTATAAACGGATTTTTTACTCCAACAACTACCTGAGAAAAATCTCATTGTATCCTTAATTATATCGATGGCAACGTCACTAATCAACCCAGTCGCCAATTCGTCCCAGGCGAGTGATCTTAGGCAGTTAGGTTTTTCCTGCGCTGAATATATACGCAAATACTTTTGTTAGCTATGATTCGCCATCAGGAGCTCACTCCTATTGATTGATTGGAGACTGCCCTATTACCAGCATTTGCGGAAAATCGGAGGTGGCCGACATGTGGCTAGCTAATAATATTCCAATAGTCCCCTGTGTGAACGAACTTATCACAGTCACCCCTTTATTACAAGTGAGGTGACCAGAACTCCGAGACAGACCGTTTTTTGGTCGAATATACAAGTCGGTTCTTTAAAACGCCCTTTATCCATCTTTTCTCGGTTTTTCCTGCACTCCCCCTGACCCTCGGCCATTTAAGTCACACCTATCAAAGGCTTCCGCCTTTCTGTGTTTTGTTCATAAATGTTTTTTATGTAATTACAATAATACATATTGATTTTATCTTATCTCATTTAATTTTGGTATTAGTAAATCTACCTATCCTAATCTATTTATAATTAATTTCCTGGATGTTTAGCAGTATAATTTCTGTGGTAGGGTCATACAACAGCATTCGCTGTTGCACGAAGGGGCAAGTCCACGGCTAGTTATAAGTACCAGGGCTTCACCGAAGACCTACGAAAAGTGGAAGTGCTATACTTCTGCGTTTAGTCTGTTAAGTGAGATAGGCGGGGCCCAATTTATAAAACTGTAGCAACGCATCTGCAATCCTACGGGTTTTTCATAATAATGTCTCTGTTAATTATGACCTGTTTTTAATAATAATAAATCTTTATTCACATAGACGCTTGCGCGTTCTAATGAAACGACGAAATTTTACAAGGAAATTAATATTAAAACATGTAGAAAAAGTACGAAAAGATTGTCGACGCTGTGGGAATCGAACCCACGTCTTCGGCATTCGCACGCTCTAGCCACTGAGCTAAACGGCTGATAGCCACAGCGACGAAAATCTTAACGCCTTCTTTCTACATAGTTATTTAGCATTTGAAGCAATGCTTGGCGCATCTATTGTTATATCCTTTCCGGGTTCGATTCCTACAGCGGCGACAATCTTTTCGTACTTTTTCTACATGTTTTAATGTTCAATCTTAAGTGCCAAGATTACCACTATAAAAAACTTTAAAATTTAGGAAATTAATATGTTTGTTAGGTTACCACCGGTTCGGAAAGCAGTTTCTGTTGAGAAGAAACCGGCAAGAAACTCAACAGTTGCTCTTTTTTAAAAGGTCAGTTTACAATATAATGTTACAGGTATAGTAGTCTTGTTTTAGTCTACGTGAGTATCAACAGTATTAACCCCACACATTGGCGTCGTCAAGATATTCGGCAATACTTAGTATAATATGCTCTAGCCATAAGTTTACTTAACGTTTCGTTGAAATTCGTCAAGTGGCAGACTTAATATCGACTGTGGCAACTTATAACGTATACTCGAGCAACCTGAGTTCGATCCCCGGTGCCGGCACCAATGAAGTTTTTAACTTTAAGTGCTGACTTATCACGTGCTCTGCGGTGAAGGAAAACATCGTGAGGAAACTATTAAACACTAAAAAAAAACATTTTCGAAATAATAACAAAAAAAAAATATTTCGAAGATATGTGAAGTCCGCCAATCCGCAGTGGGGCCGCGTGGTGGGCTATGCCCTGATACCCTCTGTATAGAGGAGGCCTTTGCCCAGCAGTGAGACATGTATAGGCTGTTACGTTACTTTTTTATGTGCACACCTTGCCCCGTGAACGACCTGTTTACTTTTTGTAGACGAAACAATGGCGTAGTTAGTTTGTCCTCATTTCTAGTATTTATTTTATGTCTGTCACTATTCTTTAGATAATTATTAATATTATGTTTAACATACAAAATATTACAATAAGTATATTGAGACGCAACAGTGAATATATTAATCTCTTTAAAAAGGTCTCTGAGTGTATTCCGGGCTCCGATGTTTTAGATTGCCCGGACAGCTCTTTTTTGAAGAATAAATATAGAATTTATATCAGATGCACTACCCCACAACAAAATGCCGTAAGATAAGATGCTCTGGAAATAACTGAAATAAACAAGTCTGGCAGTGTCGATGTCTGATAGCTGCCTAACCTTCCTAATTGCAAAAACAGCGGAGCTTAACCTAGTCGCAAGAGATGACAGATGGGGACTCCATTGGAGCTTTGAATCCACTGTAATTCCCAAGAATACAGCGGACTCGACAGGATTAAGGGTTACGCTATTTAATGTTAAGCTAAAACTTTGCCTTCCTAGGCTGGGAAGGGTAAAGGCATTTAGTTTTTTTAGCATTTAACACCATATTATTAACGGTAAACCAATGGAGGATACGCGACAGTGCACTATTCTCGTCGTCATATTTCGACACGTTTTGGTCAACCTTAAAAATGAGCGATGTGTCGTCAGCAAACAGTATAATATCACATAACTCACTGGCATAAAAGGGGAGATCATTTATATACACTAAGAATAATAATGGGCCCAAGATTGATCCTTGTGGGAACCCATTTACTTGGGGGACCCTAAGGAATTTACATCATTTATAGATACTTTTCGAATTCTATTACTAAGGTAAGAGGCAATGAGATTGAGGGCGATGTCACGAATGCCATAATAATCTAGCTTTTGAATGAGGGTTTCGTGGTCTATGCAGTCGAAAGCCTTTGAAAGGTTGCAAAAGACACCTATTGCATCTTGTGACCTTTCCCAGACGTTATAAATACGTTTGATAAATGTGTTTTGAGAAACATCAGATGAACCGCCAGCACGCTTAACACTTTCTTAAATAAAAAGAAATTACAGTTTTTCACCTCCAAGTCTGCTTATTAGGATGAAAATATAGATTGATGATTTATCTACATTTTTAATATTTTATATTTCTATGCAGGTTCAGGTGTATGACATTATGTAACTTAAATTAATGTTACACTGTTCTTTACTTAATTATTATACCTTAGCGTTGTAAACTTACTTTGGTGTGGAAGAGGGACAGGTCGGCCTTGATTTTTGTCTGGTTTATTTTCAACCGATTGTGAAAAAGGAGGAGATTCTCAATGCACTTTTTATGTTCGATACCTGCGACCTCCGTCATTTGACCGATTTTCAAAGTTCTTTTTCATTGGGTTAGGTTTAGTTGTCTTGTCACATATTAATTTCATTGGTTTTTCATCTTTAACTCCGAAGGTAATCAGGGGATTCTCAAAATCAAAAATTCAGAAGATATTTATAATATTAATAAATAATAAAGATATTTGAAGTCTGTTTAGTTTTTTGTAAATAAAATATCTTATAATCGCCATTGTGCAAATTTAATTCGATTTTAAAGTATACCGACCTTTTTATTTCGTGAAATGACGCCGTAATTAATAATAATAATAATAATAATAATATGCTTTATTGTACACCAAAAAAGAAAAAAGTACAGAACTAAACAAAATATTTATCAAATATTGGTCATCAAAAGGCGACCTTATTGCTACACAGCAATTTCTTCCAGGCAACCTCAGAAATGAATCCAAAGAAATTCTTATTGGGTAGGATGTACATGAAATTAAGTAAAAAGTAAGTTGCAACAAAAATTAAAGTAATAAGAAAAACATACCTCTTGTGTGTGATCATCAAAGTAAGAGTGAAATAAAAAGAGAAGAAAGACATCGAGAGATAGAAAGGAGCTAGACAGAGAGATAATGCTTCTTAACCTGTCTTTTAAACGAATCTAGGGTTTGAGCACGTTTAATAGCCAAAGGTAAAGAGTTCCAGAGTTTAACAGCGACAGCAGAGAAGGATTTAAGCAGGAATTAAAAATAATAAAAAAACAGTCGTTTAAAATCTTTGAAGATTTATAAGGTTAAAAATTCTCAATCGAACCAAACCTTGATAAATTTCACCTAACACAATAGTCACAGCAAAAAGTTGCATTTTAACCTTGTGGTCAGTCACCGTGAGGCGTTTTGATATAATTTCCGTAGCTTGTTGATCTTTAGGCATTACATTTAAATGATTTAAAACAACCAATAATGTTTAAAATATTATCAGTAAACTCATAAAACATGCATGATTGTGACGAACATTTAACACGGCTCGTACCTACATACATTTTGATTAAAAACAAGATAGTACAGCTATATGGTTGCAGCGTTAATATTGCCTTTTAATAACAGTTCATCAGAAAACACAAATGATGCTAACATTAATTTAGATGATTACTTGAACAATTAAATACCGGTTCGATTTTAAATCTTGACCGATTCAAGCTGCAGTGTAATTTCAAAGAAATTAAACAGCGTCGAGTCATGACAAGGTTGACGCGATTCGCTCTCATTTTCCAGCTCAATGGAGTTTCGTGCGTCACGTTGAACGCTTTTTCCTTCCAACATTTTCATGTTGCGCGCTGTGTCCGACAGGGCAAGACGTCCGCACCGAAGTGAGGATTGAGTGCGTGGGCAAAAACGTACTTAGTTTTAGTTTTCGCCGTGACACATCGTACGAAGCGGCTGATTCACACCTGTTCTCCAATTACATCTAATACACCAGGCCTCAATACTAAACATCTATTTAGATAAAACGCAGAAAGGAATTTCAACAAAAGGTTTGTATTTTCTCAATTTTCCTTTAGACGCTTACTAAGTTGTGGGTATTGTTATTGGTCGTCCACTATGACTAACTTAATCATGTGACGGTATGAACTGTTTACATTCGTTTGCATTCTTTGTGTATTTTACTGTATTTGTATGAATACTCTTCGAGCGACTTATTTACGTTTTACGAATTTTAAAAAGCTGTTTACATGAACTTTGGGATAGTAATAATATCTTTTATTGTTATCGTTCTACAGAATTCTTGGATCGTTTGATAACAAGTGAGAATTGTAAGTTTTCAGAGTATCGTTTGACGATTTGATTGAATATATTTGATAATTACTTCAGGCAAAGATTAACATAAAATAAATTTATAATTTTTATAATTTGATATTTTTAAAAAAATTTCTGTAAGTACGTTTCCTAAATTACATGTAGAGATAGCCGTTATCAGAGATAAAACGTTGTCTACCAATGATAGTTCAGTTTATGACGTGTCAAGTCAACTCGTATTATCAATCATAGTTTTTATTTCATGCCTGTTAAGGTAAAAAGTGCTAGAAACAGGTGGGAATAAATAAAGATTAAATTGTCAGATATTGTACTGATTGCAACAGGTATGTGACGTTCGCATTTCTCTTCTTCACATAAAGGAGCGAACAACTCCACAATGGGCATCTGCTTTTCGTTCGACTGCGGGGACTTTGATTTATGCTGCAACCCTTGTTGTATGGCCTTGAGCGCCTGCTGCTTGGTGCCGTGCCTTTGCCCCAACGCTTGTGGTCAGCAACAGCAGCCGCCACAGACGGTTCACGTGCACCATCCGCCGGTAGTGATTGAGCAGCCGCCTCCACCACCCGGATATCCGCACCCACCACCACCTGGAGGCTACCCTGGATACCCCCCACAACAGCCTCCCTACTCTTACCCTCAGCCACAGCCCATGTACAGATAAGCAAGTGCACTTATTACTAGGTGAGTACTAGTGAATCATCGACGTGGACGACCGTAATAATACGGCATAGGTGGAATGCTATTATTCGAATAATATTTAATCCACGCTAATTACTTACAAAATCAACTATGTGACGCTTGTTCACTAACGAAGCAACTAGTTAGAAGGTTAAATGTTAGTGTGGAGCAGTATTTAGAAAACTAACTCTCTAAATAAACATTAATCGTTTTTAACACGCGACGAATAATAGAAAACTCGTATCAACAGTTTTTAAACGTGACCTCGTTTAAAACAGTTAATTTATTGATCACATTTTTTAGAATTTTGAAATGTCTATAACTAGTTTAGTCTGAGTAGTGAGGCTTTTATTTGTTCCGGGCTAACCAAGTCAAAATTACGTAGTTAACATGTTTTCATTTTGTAACGAAAAACAACACATGACATTGCCGCCCATTTTTATAATGTTAATTAGCAACCTCCTTAAGTGGATATATCAAAGAGTTAAGCAGATATGAACGATGTTTTTACGAGGAATATATTCCCGTGTTAGTTTTATTGCTCATGTCATTACACGCAACATGAAGTAAGTAAAGAAAATATGACTAATATGACACAATGAAAATATTTAAACTTTCCTGAATTTAATGAAATACGAAATGTATCATTTAAGTGCTCGAATTACTGTTTTAATAATTATTTATTGTTTTTCGTTTTAACATTCTGGTATTATGCATTATGCAAGCTAACGTAGGTGTCTCCGTGGTCGATATGTAGTAAACAAAGTGGTTGTCACGTTCCAGGATGGGTTGCCAATTTTCGTGCCGCCCATGCTGTTGTTGCTGCATACCGTGCTTGTGCTGCGACTGTTGTGGCGAGCCCCCTCGGACAGTTGTGCACCACCACGTGGTTCAAGCACCTGCGCAACAAGCCCCTCAAATTATAATCAATCAACCTCCTCCACCATACAGATAGTTATTACGGGACCATTTTGCAATACTTCTATTATAGAGTCGTCTACATCCAATGATTTTTTTTATACACATATTATGTGTATAGAAAGTCATTTGATGTAGACTACTAACTAAATCGGTTATTTGTTGATAACGTGGATATACCTTTCTTATTTTAAAAGTATTCATATTAAAGGCCCATTTACACGATGCCATTTTCTTGTACATACAAGAGCAATAATTGAATGCAATAAGTTGCACGCAATAATTGACTATCAAGAATTGTAAGCAACAGTTTACACGCAGATATAGTAAAAAAAAACTGAATGCGATTATTGTATGCAAGTCTTGACAGGAAATAATTGCAAAGGTCTTTTGTTTACACCAATGCAATTATGTTTAGGCGATTATTGCTTTCAAGTTTTGACTTGTCTAAACACATACTTGTATGTGCGTGTACAATTTATTGGCGTGTTGCTTCAAGTATTGCACGTATTTGCGTTGACAAATTTTTCATGCAATTGTTGAACGTTTTACAAAGGGCTGTTTTTTAAAAAAAATGGCTCAATAATAAGTGTTCAAGTTAGATTATGCCGATTAAATATATTTCATTGAGATTTATTTATTATGATCCATATATTATTATTCATATTTTTATCCAACTTTGTTTACGACCTTTTCTCAATATTTCTATCCTCAAAAGAACAGCAATGATTAAATACCCTCACTCATTGCACAAATTTTTGCCAAGGAAGAGAGAATGCAATTGAATACTAGAATTGCTTAAGAAATTATTGTGTGTGCTGTTTACACCAAGGAAAGTTTTGAAACAAAACTTGAAGCAAGTCTTGTTCAACAGGCAAGAATGTTATGTGCTGTTTAGACCATGCAACTCATTTATTGCTTCAATTTAATTGTATACTACAGGCAAGAAACTTGCACCGTGTAAATGGGCCTTAACAGTGCCGGATTAACCACTTAGCAAGAGTAGCAACTGCCACGGGCCCCGCGCGTAAGGGGGCCTGCATATTTAAACCCAATCGTCTCTGTCTGAGTGTATTTTTTTTTGAGTTAAACTTATTAAGTAAATAAGTATTGAATTGTTTTTTTTTCCACTTTATACTTAAGAACACATTGCAGATCAAGGGTTGTTTGAAAGAATTTGCTAAGGGCCCTGCACTTGCTTAATCCGGTACTTTAGTGTAATAATAATAATATCATTAATTTAGTAAGTATATTGCTAAAGTTAATATTTTAATTAAAATGATCCAATCAATTGTATAATATTACAGGAATATATGGAGTTAAATTTGTACATAGTTTGTACCGGGCCGTATTTTTCAAATTAAATAAGCATTCACTAACATCAATTCTTAATTCAATTGAATATTTAATAATTGTAACCCCAAAACGTTGCTAACAACTTTTTAGTTTCTCTACAAAGTTTAATTACTTTTACATTTATTTATCTTTGCCAGTACTACGTAAGCTAGTTCTAAAATGAGAGCCATCTCGGTTACACGGATTCAATGAATAAGCATACTGTGTCTAATTTTGTCGGAATATATCGAGTACCATACGCGAATGAATCTAAAAGTTATAACCACAAAAACAAAAGACTTTATATAGTTTTTCTACGTCGTCTTTGTAATAAAATAACATTGATTTTAAAAGTATCATATTTGCGAAAGTTCATGAATTAGTTATTTAGACCAAAAGTCGCTTAGTTTGGTATTTTCATTCTAAACATCCGTAGGACTGGCGTGACATCATGTTTGACTAGGCTTGTTTAGTCAATTTAATTAGTGAGTGGTTCACTCGTTTGTTTCGCATGTATGTCTATACAATTTTACAGCTACGTACTAATTGCCACTTTCATTAATTACTTGTGGTTGTTGCTAAATATATAGACTATACCTACGAATACAAAAAGTCATGTGATCCTTATCATTATTAATTAATTATAATCAACACACGTTTCGTATCATTTCCCAAATTGCGAGCAGTCCACCATCGTCCTTTAGTTATTTTTTTTTTTATGTAAAACCGAAAGACATTTTCTGAACGTTAAGTAAGTTATAAAATTATTATTTATACAGAAAATAGTAATCTTTCATTTGTTATTAAATGTTAATACTTTAGATGCCTCATTTACGAACTTTAGATCTCTCATTCGACACCACATTTAATGCATTTTCTTACAGTTTATCGTCATGTTATAAAATAACTAAAGAAATTTAAGTTGCATTGAAATTGCAATGATCGAGTAGGGTTCCAAATGAGATCAGACACGATCTTGATAATTGTTTTGTGCTAGGTTAAATCTTATTATTTAAGAAAAATTAGCCGTATTTTTATTTCAACCATTCACCCTAATTATTTTATCTACATTTATGTCTTTAATTATAATAAAAATACTTTTGGATGAATATTCAGATTTCATTTAACATTACTATAATTAATGTTAATACATAAACTCTCATGTTTGTGTGTTATGTTTATTCACTGTTTCTAAAACTTAAGAAATAGAAAGGAGGAAAATCCTTTACGTTACAGGGGGACCAGGGCGGTCTGCATCTTTGACATCAAAATTCCCGGGATGAAGACGCTTGAACCAACTTTGTAGTACTCTTACGGACACTGCACTGGGTTCATAAACGACCCAATTTTTCTCTGCTTGTATTGCTTGTCCAAGAAAGGATATAACAATAGATGCGCCAAGCATTGCTTCAAATGCTAAATGACAATGTAGAAAGAAGGCGTTAAGATTTTCGTCGCTGTGGCTATCAGCCGTTTAGCTCAGTGGCTAGAGCGTCAGGCCGCGAATGCCGAAGACGTGGGTTCGATTCCCACAGCGGCGACAATCTTTTCGTACTTTTTCTACATGTTTTAATGTTCAATCTTAAGTGCAGAGATTAGCACTATAAAACACCTTAAAATTTACAAAAAGCAATGGCGACATCTCTCGTTCGAATTATCGTTGTAAAACGATATTCGAAATTGTTTGTATGCTGGAAAGGATATAACAATAGATGCGCCAAGCATTGCTTCAAATGCTAAATAACAATGTAGAAAGAAGGCGTTAAGATTTTCGTCGCTGTGGCTATCAGCCTTTTAGCTCAGTGGCTAGAGCGTCAGGCCGCGAATGCCGAAGACGTGGGTTCGATTCCCACAGCGGCGACAATCTTTTCGTACTTTTTCTACATGTTTTAATGTTCAATCTTAAGTGTAGAGATTAGCACTATAAAAAACTTTAAAAATCTTTGACGAAGTAATCAATAAGCAGAATTCGGCGGTCGCTTATAGTTTCGAGAAAAAGAAATTGAAAACTTGTTATTTTCACTAAAGAAATCTGCCATTTTGTTGCTGACAATATCATTTACGAATTCACACACTTTTCTAAATGATAAATTCGCATTATTAAAAAAAGATTATAAAAATACTGAAAGTACTGTTATGCTGACGTTTTGGTTGGTCAGTGTAACATCTACTTTCAACCGGGCGTTAGTCACATAATTTTGATTAACGAGGATAATCACTGTCAAATTCTTGTTTTTATATTTGTTTTATCTAATCGTGACTTCCATGTAACCAGCAGGATTTGTTAACATTTCTTTATTACCACTCCGATAAGTAGATAAAATAATATTAATAAGGTCGACTGGTTTACTAAGTTCGTCTCACCGAAAGCTAGATTTGAATTATTTTATATTATGATACAGAATTACGAACATAAATACAATACAATAAAATTTTATCTTAATGACTACCTTCTGAATTCGATTGGTCATATGTTCCTACCTAAATTATCTCCAGAGATTTCATTTCATCCCACTAAATACAATTTTTTGTAGAAGAATTCCATAATGAATCCTTTCGGAATTAAAGCCTGAACCCTTTCGGAACTATTAATTTGTTTTCGTGCGATTTGTCCAGTAAATAATACTCTAGATTAAGTAAGAAAATTATACATAATACTGTGGTACCGTATACCATTTAAGTATTGTATCAGCTTTTCAAAAACCATCAACACAGCTAATTTTATGCGTCGGCACAACTTTAGGAATTTTCCATAGTAAAGTAAAGTAGCCTATACATGTCCCACAGCTGGACAAAGGCCTCCTCTGTAATCCACCTCTGTAATCCATCAATGGGGCCGCATTGCGGATTGACGGACTTCACATATCTGGGAAATATTTTTTTTTGTTATTATTTTGAAAATATGCAGATTTCCTCACGATTTTTTTCTTCACCGCTGAGCACTTGATAATTCAGCACTTAAAATTAACAATTTCATTGGTGCCGGCACCGGAGATCGAACTTGGGTTGCTCGAGTAAATTGTATTAAAGGCTAGCGCCCGGACACTGAGCTATCAATCTTCCATATACTTGGTAAAATATCCTTTTGTTTATATGGAACTGACTAGCGCTTGACTGCCACCCCACCTGATGGTAAGTGGCGATGCAGCCGTGGATGGTAAGCGCGCTAGCTCAGTAAAAGCCTATTCACTCTTGCCTTGAAGACGCCTACGTTATAATCGGATGGGAAGACCGACGCCGGCAGGTTGTTCCATTCCTAAGCCGTACGGACGATAAATGACGATGCGAATCTCTTTGTTCTTGTGCGTGGAACGTCGACAGCAAAAGGGTGGAGCCCTGCCGAACGTCTAGTTGTCCGATGATGGAAAGGAGGATCAAATCGTGCAACTCCAACGCACACTCTCCAAAATGCATCCTGTAGAAAACCGAGAGGCTGGCTACTCTGCGCCTGTGCTCGAGGCTAGTGAGATTGGTTTTAACCAAATCACGGTCACCAATGAGCCTTTCCGCACGCCAGTCAAGGGCAGCCAGGTGGCATTTTGCAGCCCCAGCCCAGATATGGCAGCAGTACTCCACACACGAGCGGACTTGAGCTTTGTGAAGAGTAAGGAGCTGTCCCGGTGAGAAGTACCGTCGCACCTTTACAAGGATGCCTAACTTCCTTGCAGTT